GGTTCCCTGCTCAGCGGGAAGCCTGCTTCTCCCTCTCCCACTCCCCCTGCTTGTGTTCCCTCCCTCGCTGTGTCTCTATCAAATAAATAAAATCTTTAAAAAAATGAAAAAATGAAAATTTTTAAAAATTTAAAAAAGGATATGATTACTAAGGAAGAACTTCCTACTAAAATTATGGGGTCATAAGATGGGTACATACTAAGTGTTTTTTATTGGTTTTTTTTGTTTTGTTTTTTGGGGTTTTTTGTTTTTGTCTTTAGAGAGTGGGGAGTGGTGTGGAAGGGCAAAGGGAGAGAGAGAATCTTAAGCAGGCTCTACACCCAGTGCAGAGCCAACGCAAGGCTGGATCTCACAACCCTGAGATCATGACCTGAGCCGAAATCAAGAATCTGATGCTTAACCAACTGAGCCACCCAGGCGCCCCATGCACATGTTAAGTTTTTAACACAGTCTGCCAAATCATCCTCCAGAATCATTTTACCTAGTCACACCAATTTATTTCCTTTGTGGGGAAACTCAAAGGAGTTGAGTTTCAACTCATGGGGATCAGAGTCTCAAGGCTTCCCATTGGAGGAAATGCGTATGGCCATCAGGAGACTGCATGTGCAAGCCTCCATCTGTAGATCCCTCTGCCAGTAACTGCATTTCCCCTTCTATCCAGGTCCATGGACAGAAAGCCGCTTGGGAGGACCCAGTGGAGTGGGTCCGGGACACTCTTCCCTGGCCATCAGCCCAACAAGACCAGTCGAAGCTATACCACCTGCCCCCTCCCACCGTGGGCCCTCATAGCATTGCCTCACCTCCCGAGGATAGGACAGTCAAAGATAGCACCCCGAGTTCTTTGGACTCAGACCCCCTGGTGAGTAGAAGCCATTCGAAGGTAAAAATAAGAGTATTATGGAACTGAACTTTTTTTTTTAAGATTTTATTTATTTGAGAGAGAGCGCACGTGCACACGCGCGCGTGAGCTGGGGGAGGAGCAGAGGGAGAGGGACAAGTAGACTCCGCACCATACATGGAGCCTACTGCAGGGCTTGATCCCACGATCCCGAGATCGTGACCTGAACCGAAATCAAGAGTCAGATGCTGAACCAACTGAGCCACCCAGGCGCCCCTGGAATTGAACTTTTCATGCATACCCTGATGGAGGCTGAAGGGTATCAGCAAGGCTAGGACTAGAATGAGGCCAGTGAGGAGCTCAACAGTCAGAATCCTGGTTATAAAGATCATATGCCTACAACCTATCTTAAGCTACATAATAATGCATGCTAGCAAGATGTATTCTAGTAAAGACCTGAGTCTCAGGCAGATCCCAGGTAGGACTATTAACCAAAAAAGAGAGCAGTGGGATACACATACACTCTGTCTCTACCTCTCCCTCTACTCTGGTATTATCCTGAGGATTGCTGCGGTTCAGTGGATTTCATGAACCACTATGAAAAGTAGTCTGAGACAAGTGACCAACTAGGGGCAAATATTTGCAAGGCTTGTAACCGAAAGAGGATTGGTACCTAGAATATATAAAACTTCCCATAAAATTTCCAATTAGAAGAATGGACAAAGGATACGAACAGGCATTTGACTAGAGGAAGTGCAAATAGCCAATGAAAATACAAAAAGAACCTTAACTTCTCTAATAATCGTGGAAATGCAACATCAAAACAAGAAGAAAACCGTTTCACATTGGCAGAAATAGTGTGTATGCAAGCGCAGGCTTCATCCTCTGCTGGTGGGAGTGTTGATTAGCAAAGCCATTTTGGAAGATAACTAAGCAGTTTGTATTAAAATTTAACGTGCACCACTCCTGTGACCTTGCAGTTTTACGTTGCAAGTAAGAAATTCTTCCACTTTAGTCATAATACATTTTAATTTAAGTTTTGACTTTGCTAAAAACAGGTGTTACCTGTGTAAATAAAAAAACAAGCCATTAAATTGGAAGACTGTTAATAATCATGTAAATAGAAGATTCAATAGAGAACCAGCCAGGTATACTTAGCTGAAACGGAGGGTCACAGTCTTGAAGAGGCATGGGAGCTGGAGAGAGGTAAAGAGGGAAGGAGGAAGGAGGTGGATACACTGAAGCATTTAGACCTGACACGAAGCACTAGGCTGTGTGTTGTGGCAGAGGGTGGGTGTGCAGGACAGACTCGTGATGACACTGTGTTCGGCTATGATCTCTTTGGAAGAAGTTGACACACACAGACGTTCTTACGGCCACTTCGCACATCCCTCCCAGTATTAGTCAGTACGTCCAGGCCTTCTGTCCTCTCCTGAGTGTGACCACCTTGGAGGCAGAGGCTCTCTTGTTTCGACATCCCTCCCACATCACAGCACAGCACCTCGTAGAGCCGAGATACTCCCGAGCATCACACACACATGCTTACAGACAGGGTTGAAGTAACCACTGCTGCTTTTTCAGGAGCCACCTGTATACTCTCTGGGCCCTTCATCACTTCCAAACCAAGGATCAGACCCCTGATCTAGATTGCTTTATGTTTCCCTTCTGTGGGCAGGACCGAGTCCCGACTCTCATGAATCCATCCTTTTGCCCCTCTTTAGATGGCCATGCTGCTGAAACTTCAGGAAGCTGCCAATTACATTGAGTCTCCAGATCGAGAAACCATCCTGGACCCCAACCTCCAGGCCACGCTTTGAGGGTCCAGCAGTCACTGTCACCCCGGACAGCAGAATGCTGGCATCAGCGACGTTCTCTCCTCCTCTCCCCTCTCTTCTTCCAGAGGACTGGCTCTCTGGCCCAAGAGAACAGGAGGGGGAGGAGGAGGTGAAGGAAGAGGGCAGGTTCTTGGTGCTGCACCTTGAGAACTTCCTAGTAAGGACTGGTGGGGTGGAGTTTGGAAACTTGTGTCCCCTAGATATATTTACTGGCCTCCTCTCATGACTTTGGGGAAAAGATGATTCTGGGTCTTTTTCCTTGATTTCGTGTCTCAATTATAAACTCCTAGGCTTTCTGGGGAGGGGTTCAGAAGACCTCAGAAAAACCGGCAGCAGTTCCTAACTGATTCTCACGAAGAGCTCTGGGAGAGACAGCCCTGTGTGGGGAAATCTGAGGGAGGTGGAAGCTCCCCAGAATTTCTCGCAGACCCTTCCGAGTTCCGTCACCACTGCCAATAACTCTTCCCCCAGAGATCTGGCTGGAGCCCAGAAAAAGAAGCATGTGGTTTAAAAAAATGTTTAAATCAATCTGTAAAAGATATTTTAAAAAAACACAAAAAAAGAAAGGAAAAGATGACGCTGGAGAGAGAGGAAGAAGTTGCCAAAGGAGAGAACGTGCTGCCCATCCCTGGATGACTTAGGGGATGAAGACAAGATGGCTGCCTATCTCGGAAGTCACCAGACCACAACAATAGCATTCCAGCCTTCAAAGAAAGACTGTTAGCTCTGTCTTATACCCTCTAATTTAACATGCATGAGTCAATAAACCCTACTTTTTTTATTTTTTATTTTCGCTTTTTGTTTTCTTTTTTTTCCCCTCCCGTGTGCCTATTTATTTTCCTTTTCTTTCTTTTTTTTTTTCCATTTCCTCTCATGTCCACAAAATGCTTGGGTTGCTTTTCCTGGGGCTAGTTTGGCTTTTCCAAGTGGGTTTTCTTCGGAGAATCTGATGCCATCTAATTGACACTAGCTAGATGCCTGCCATGCCACTATTTTTGGCATCCTTGGGACTTACAGGAGACCCGAAGCATTGGCTCAGACAAAAGTAGTAAAAGAACCTTGACTTCCCTTTTGAGAAAGCACACGTTCTGCCTGGGAGCTCAGCTGCCAGCCTCCAGTCTGAGAGTGTATCACCCCATGTTGATAGAAGATCTACTCTGAGCTCCACGCTGGACTGGAGGAAAACCAGGAAACTGGGAATATTCCTTTGTCTTGTGGCCTGTTGGGCCCCCCATTGCGCTATTCTGATGGCGGCCACTCTGCTCAACTGAATCAAAAATCCGTAGCTGGCCTTTACTATTTGTTCTTGACAAGTAAATATTCACTTACAGGAGACTGGACATCCATATGAAATACTCCCAGTCAGAATATAAGGTTCAAGGAGTTTGACTTGGTGGCAAAGATCTGCCTTCTAAAGGGATCCACCTTCAGTAGAAGTTGCCCCGAAGGCCTGGCAGTCTATATGCTTTCACTCAGCAAGGACTTACTGAGTACTTACTGTCTGCCAGTCACCAGGTTTAAAAAAACAAAAAAGGCAAGACTTGAGCTGTTGTGTTCACAATCTAGTAGGAAATCTTAACCTCCATTAAGTGCACATCCTCTGCTTATCTAGACCCTCAGGATCATCTAAGAAATGTAGCCAAAACCCAAGGTGCCAGCTAGAAAGAAGCCTTTGATTAGATGTCTAATACATGGGGGGCAGAAGATCTGGGATCCATTAAGATGGACCCTGAAGGACTATGGAGCCTTGCTTATCTCAAGTGGACAAGTCCTCTACCTGCCATTTCTGGAAGCCCCTGTGGGATGAGATCCAGGCTGAACTGCCTGGCGAGGATGAAGTTTCAGGGCTCTACAGATCAAAGACCTGTGATGAGCCTGGGCCCAAGTGTGCATTCTTCAGATTCCTATGTAGCACAAGACCTTATCCGAATCTACAGGCATACTCACCTGGACTGTTCTTTCCCACCCAGCCAAGGAGTACATGCATCTGACTCTTCATATCAGAATCTTTCCATTTAGGTCCAACAGATGGTTCAGGTTGCTCCCCAAGAAAGCTTCCGCATTCATCTGGTAGCTCCCAGGGATGACAGGGTCCTCTATGCTGGAGACTTTTAGTGCTTTTGCTGCTAAGTCCATGAGCTGTGAATATCCCCAACAACTCAGCTGTAAAATATGCAATTCTGTGGTGGGAAGAGGCTGTTTGTTCAAGGATGGTGCTGATATCATTGCCTTAAGGTCTCTGCTGTGCAGAATGAGGAGGCCCCAGAGCTGGATGTTCCAACTTGGAAGGAAGGGAGGACCAGATGGGCCTTCTTTGGACCAAGGCCTCTTCTGAACCCTGTCCTTAGCTCCAGTCCCATGGCAAGGCTCAGACTTTTAATGCCATCTTGATCAGGTGGTTGAGCCCTTAACTCTACTTTCTGGTGCTGCCCAGCCAGTGCCTTCTATCATGGATGTTACTGGCTACTTGAGAAAAAGGAAAGGGGAGAACCCCTTCCTCCATTCCAACTGCCTCAGACCTCCAAAGGGATTCTTGGCTCCCTGGTAACCATGGATACCACCATGAATTTTACTTGGATCCTCAGCAGGTTGATTCTGGAGGCCTCTCATGTTACTAATTTTACTCTCTATTTCTGGGACCCACCACCCTCTACTCTGAGTTGACTGCTGCATTTAGCCCAGGTCTCTAGCTGCTTTCCTCCAAAAGTGTGTTCCCATCTAATGAGGTGGCACTGCAGCCTCAGCTTTCCCTCTGGAGCCTGGGACCCTGTTTACAGTTGCACACTTGGGCCCCTCATTGTGGGGATTTGTTGTCTCACCAAGGAATCATGCTTATGTGGCAACTGCAGAAAGTTGAGCCTCCTCATGGTGCTATAACCCCTTGGGGTGCTCATCCAGACTTCTCTGAAGCAGAAAACCTGAGTTTCCCCCTTACTGCCCTAGAACTAATGACAAGAGCGAATCCACAGCATTCTCTCCTACCTACGCACCTGCTTCTTAGTTGAGACTCTGGGATCCCTCCGAAAATGAAAACTGGGTCCCACGGCTAATTTCTCAGCCCCTGGGCACCTTCAGAAGAACCCAGCCTATGTAGGACTGGGATGTGTGCTCTCCCCTTCCTCTCCAGACCCTCAACTCCATTCCTCACCAAAGTGGGCTAGCAGATGACATGGTTCAATACCCAACATCAACTTCTGGGGAGAGCCATGACTCCAGGAGAGGTTCCTCCGCAGACTCCCTCTCATTTCTGGATGAAGACGACCACAACACATTCTGTCCAGTGTATGTGTTTCTCAATCCCTGCCTAGGCATTAAAAATAAAATACTAGGTAATTGGAGGCTAATACAGGACCTGATGTCTGTGTGTGTCTCTCTTCCCCCCCCCCCGCCCCCGCCTTCAAGAGCACTTTGCGGTTGCTGTTTCCTAACTTCTGAGGCTTCAGAATATTTTCAAAAAATCTATGCTTTGTGGCAGCTCTACGGTGCTTATCTCTGTCTTTGTGTGAATCCTTATACCAACGTCTTTTTCATGTAGTCTGACCATTGGGAAGCTAGAGGCTGACAGGGAAGAAAGATTTGCTGTCCATGGACAGACCCTACAATGAAGTCCTTATTGATTGGCATGCTACATTTTGGTCTTGAATTACCAGCCTTCTAACTAATCTATTCATACTCCTTAAGGATTTCAGAAGAAATAGTGATTTTTTTTTTCAGTTCATTTCATTTCTGGCTTTTTGGTTTTCCTGTTTGCAAGACTCCCAATGGACCTAATCTCACCACGCCTCCACTCCTAGCTCCCTGACATGAGGGTCACACGATTCAGAGGGACACTCCCTTCCAGTCTTGGAGGTCACTAGTTCTGTGGTATTCCAAAAGAGTAGGAAGACAACAGCCTGCTCTTTCTCACAAACACCTCACATCATCACCTGAGAGGACACCCATATCCAGAAACCCTGCTTATAGGTGAAATTTGCCAGACCGAGTGGGACTTGGTCCTACAAGCCAGCATCAGGAGACCTACAGGAGACTAAGAATTCTTTATTTCAGGGTGTTTAGGAAAGGAAGCTGTTCTTGTCCTAATCACAGGTTTAACACAGGGTTCAAGTGTTAAAGTAATCCAGATCACCAAATGTAACTCCTCATCATACTTATTTTTCTTATTCTCGGGCCTTAGCTAAGCTGACGCTAATAAGCAGACTATAAGTCAACCCCACTGACGGGCTGAAATGTGTTTTTCCAGCCAGAGGTTTTGCTAATGGATATACTAATTTAATGCTGGTACACTCTTTTGATGACTAGGAACTACTAGCAAGTTCTGGCTACTAGTGGTTCATGGCTCCACTAAAGAGGCCATAAATAATAAAATGGCCTTAGGGACACTGTGTTCCCAAAAGGCCAATGCCTGAAGATAATTGCCCTTTATACTTGAATCAGCTTTATATATTCATGAGTCCTCAACCAACCTGATCAGGGATCTATGGGGCCACCAAGTGGGCCCTCCCCACTGCCGAGGATCCATGTGTGTGCAGATGCGAGCTCAGCCTAGCCCTGGAAGCAAGCACTGCCAGCCAGAGACTGGGAAACAGAAGTAAACTGGAAGATGAGGACCCCAATAGAAATTTGAAGGCTGCATAGAGACCATTAGAGTTGAAAATTAAACCTATGTATACTGGCTCCTCCCAGTTTGATGTTTTGGCTATTTTTCTGAATGATTATGCCATGGAGAATTTTCTGTTGACAAGAGTGGTCATGGAAGTAAGTGGACCCTTGGTCCCTTGATTCAACTCTCATTTCTTAGAATACTGGTTTTCATCCTATGTTTCCAGACCAGCAGCTGCGGCAACATCTGGGAACTTGTTAAAAATGAAATTATCAGGCCCCATCTCAGACCTACTGAATCAGAAACTAAGGAGAGGGCCCAGCCATTTGTGTTTTAACAAACCCTCTTGGTAATTCTGATGCACGCTACAGTGTGAAAGTCACTTTTTTAAAGGGAAAGGCAAGCAGCAGAGTCCCCACACCGAGGGGCTTTAGGACCAAAAAATAAGGTCCTAGGTTGTAATTCAGGCTTTTACATTAATTTGAAAGTTACCTTTCCCATGCTTCCTTATGTTTCTGTTTTTCCTTTTATTTAACACAGAAAAGGTTCATGTGCCCTTGGGCAGACGGGAGGGGGAAAGCAGGAATCTCTTTGAGTTGAACACAATCTTCAGAGAAAAATCTCCTGGCTCTGAAATTTTTACCTGGGAAACGAATGGGCAGTAGCTGAAGCAAGCAGTTGGAGGTCTCTTCCAGACTGCTCTTCTGCTAGATTGTGTCTACTCCAAGGCTTTTTCTGATTATATAATAGGATGAGAAAAGTCAGAAAATCTCATTTGTATTTCCATGGCAACTTGTGCTCTTAGCAACATCCCCTCTCCTTTAGTTGAGTTCTAAATGGCACTGCTGGGTCTGAGAAACCTGGCCAGAACCTCCTTCCCCGGGGCAGCTGGAGGGCTCCAGTACCCCGAGGAAGACCCCGTCTCCATGCTCTGCTCCGCTCACAGGACGGGCTGAAGCACAATGAAGATGCAGGACAGGGACAACTAAGTCCCTGGGCTCATCCTTTCCTTTCCCCACGCCAGGCCTAGGGTACAGAATGACTCAGCCACAGTGACAGAATAAAATCCTTTAAAAAAAAAAAAAATCTGAGAGGAGCTTCTTATCTTTTCAGATTCTAGATGGTGGGGCCATGGGGTAGATGAGGCTATTGACAACTGGTTTTGTTTCAAGTTTGTCAGTTTTCCCTGTGAGGGAGCTTATGGGTAGAGGACAAAGTAATGTGCTAGTACTAGGCCTCTTGAAATCTAGGACCAAGCATCTGGGGAGGAACTAAGGCTGGAAGAAGACAAGTGTAAAACAGATTTCACTAAAATCACCCCTTCGGTCCCCCCGAAGGCCTATAACGGGCCTTTGGTCATCTCCTGTGCGATCTTCCTGCTTCCTTCCCATTCCTTGGAGACTGAAGATGTTAGATAATAAGCCAAGAGCTCCCATATCCCAGCCAGTGTCTGGGCTCCTGCTGTGCAGGAGCCTCCCACTTAATGACTTTTGTTACTGTTGTTGTTTTTTGTGTGTTGTTTTGTTTTTGTACCAGAACAATCTTTTTTTTTTAATGAATTCCAACCCCTACCAGATTTCTTTCCTTCCCTCCCCCTCCCACCCCCATCCTGTTTTAGGCAGCACTGTTTATGTGATGGAGACTGTGTTTCTCAAGTGCATGGCAATCCTCAGGTGGAAAGTGGGGAGGAATTTTTGCACCAGGTTTTTGTGTGTTTTTTTTAATTTATTGGACATAAAGCCCCAAACCAGGATATGTATGTACCTGTGTGTTTGTTTTTTCTCATTTGACCCTCCCCTCTTTCAATCTACCCCCTTTTATATCTAATGTAGAGAAAGCAAATTTGAACCTGGAAAGCAAACCGTTGTATATAGTTGCGGTAACAATCATGAAGAGAGCTGAGCTGTCCCCTCAGTAATTTGTTTTAAGTAACAAATTGGTTGAAAATTAAATCCATGCCAGGCCAGCTGAAGAGGCCTTCCTCCATCACTGCCAGAGGCCCCTCTCATCTGGGCCCTCTGTTCCATCAGGCATGTCTCCTCCCAGCAAGATTCATCTGTTTGATGCCATTTGCGTTTCAATAAAGTTATCTCCTGTATTGTCCACTGGTTCTCTCTAGTTCCCTCTCTGTCTGGTTTCTGTCTCCATTTATCTTGTGGCCCATTCCTTGATCTGCAAGGTGAGACTGCTTGCGGTCATTTGCCTAACCAAGAGGTAAACCTCATCTCCCTGGAAATGTCTGATCCTCAGATCCTAAGCAGGAGCTCTGGAACCCTTTGGTTGGGGAAAGGAGGGGTCGGGGAGTTCCCTACTTGCACGCTGTGGACATAGCATCTTTCACCAGCCCAAAATTCAGGGTTCTTGAGTCCTCCATCCACTGCCACAATGTTTGAAAATCTACCACCCTCTGGACTTTCCTGTTCTCTTCCAGGGGTAAAAGTGAATTAACCCAGGAAAAAAGAAGCTGCTCTAATGGAACAAGGAAAGAAGGAAAAGAAGTCCTACTACTCCCTACTTTGGAATTTCAAGGTCCAAGAAGCAATCTTTCCCCTATGAAATTGTGGTAACACAACCCACCTGTCCTCTCACATGAGAAATGACAAATGTGTTTAGAGCTGTCCTCAAGTCAAGGAATCAATCTTTAGGAAGAATACTCAAATGAAGTGACACCCCCAGATCACTATCAATTTAGCAGCCATAGTCTTAGAACTAGGCTAGGAATTGCCATCTGGTTTCCTCTGCCACTTGGGAATGAGAGTCAGAGTTCCTAGAAACCATTTTAAGGCACTCAACCTGAACAGCTTGCTAAAAATTACCTGTTCCTCTTGCTCTAGAGCCTCCCATTCCGAAAACATGCCATTCTACCCCTCTGCCACTACGTGCTTGCCAACCTGACGTGCATTTTTTAAAATTTGAAATGTATTGTTTTATTTACATTCTGCCCTGCATTTTTAACTCCTCTGGATAATCCTCTCCACTTGCTCCAGTATTTAGCATTATCTCTATTCCTTCAACCATTTCCTACAACCAGCCCGAGGATATCCATATTAAACTTCACTCCTTAAATGTCCAGCCACAATTTCTCTGGGGAAAAAAAATTTATACGTTCTCAGCGAATAGGATTCATTCTCAAATAGTCATTCAAGTACTTACTCTGGAGGAAATACCCTTCCCCACGCAGGTGCCCTCTCCTGGTCAGACTCCACAATTTTGAAGTTGGGCTCAACTAGGCTGGAAAGCCAAGGGACTGGGTCTTTTTCAGGTGACCACTCTCCACTGCCCAGTCCACTTAAGTTTCTTTTTCCCTACCTTTGAATTCTTAAGGCTGAGATGAAGAGACTCACGTGAGCCAACGGTTTTTTTCAGTGTTTGGGGTGGGGGGGAAAGACTGGTTTAAAATAGCTATTTCTGACCCAGACCTCTCTCCTTAAAGCCCTCTACACCCATTCCCATTTCACTTCCTCTCTTCTAACAAAGTATCTTATACCTGAAAGATCCATGAATTTAAAGTCCTATATCATGGCGTTTGTTCCAAGTGAGTTTGCTAACTTGCTGTTCCACTTTAGAAAATCCCCCTAACCTCAGTTTTCATATAAATGTGAAGTGATTCTTGCGCGAAAAGGTGCGGTTTTCGTCCATTACGACAGGAGGCGCTGTCTCTGGAGGCTTAGGCCCATTCCCCACCCCCTTCTCGCTCCCGCCCTGCTCTGGTGCGCAGGCGCGGCTTCGCGGATTGGCCGCGCGCGGGAGCCGTCATTTAGTGGCGGGTCCCGGCCGCGGGGCTGGCGGGCTGAAGGGAAGAAAGATGGCGGCAGCGGCAGCGGGTGGTGCGGCCTCCGGGCTGCCGGGTCCAGTGGCACAAGGATTGAAGGAGGCTTTGGTGGATACCCTCACCGGAATCCTGTCCCCAGTGCAGGAGGTGCGAGCGGCTGCCGAGGAACAGATTAAGGTGCTCGAGGTGACAGAGGGTGAGTGAGGCGGGACCGTCACGAGGATGGGTCGGACCTGGGCCGGCCGTACTATCCGCTGGCCGCAGCTCCGGACCGGCCGGGGGCAAGGGGAGTCAGCCAATGGAGATCTGGGCACCGAGGCCCAGCAGGCGGGAGTGCGGTAGGAAGCGAGAGGACGATGTCCCCCGGTGGCTGTGGAAGTCCGGGAGAGGGGAGGCGCGCCTGGAGGAGAGGGTCGGGGGAGGTGGAGCCTCGAAGGGGAGGGGGAGGGTGGAGACTAGAAAAGCTAGATGGAGTCTGGGATCTGCGGAGGACCGAGATGGAGCTAGACCTGCTGCTGTTGGAGGAAGTCGCGCGGTCTGGGAAACATTTTTGAGTTCAGACCAGGGTCTTTTGCTGTCCTCTTTGCCAGCTCGGTTTTACTGAGATAAGAGTAAGGGGAGTTATTAGAAGTGGTGAGAGGGCAGAGCCTTGAGGACGCGGCTATCAAAGCTTAGTACATATCAAACAAGTTTCTGCCTCTGAGTTATAAGCCTAGCTGGTCGTTTTACCTCTTAATGTTTTTCCAGAAATCAAATTCAGTGCATGTGCAGATGATTCACCTTCCTGATCATACTCCCCGTTAATTTTTGAAAATAATTTGCACTTGTTAAATACCGCTGTGTGCATTTCTGTTTGAAGGAACTGATCCTTTGTCTTTGACTCTTTGTCCCCGTACTCCTATTATATGCTTTAAAGTGATGGAGAAAAAACAAACTATTGGTTTGAGATTGTGAATTTTCTGCTGAGTGGGCCTTTCACCAGGCCCAGTGTAGCCACTTTACAAAGAACAATTTGATCCTAAAACAGGAGGAGGGAAAATCCTCTTGGTCTTTATGTAAGAAATATATTTGGTTTGTCAGGGCTTCACTGGAAGAACTGCAAATCTTTAGAATTTCCCCCAGCTCAGCCACCTCTTAGAGGCCTCTTCTGAGATTCGGGAAATTGTCCATGGACTAACCAGTCACACTCAAAACCTTGAGTTTGCTGTCCTACTGGGCTTAGGATTTTTACTGAAAAAGAACTTCAGACAAATCTTTCTTTAATTTTATATTCTCTCACAATATGAGATCGCTGTTGAAAATGAATTTCCTTCTGTTGAAAATACATTGAGATTTGGGATATAATAGATTAAGGACCATTTTGAAGGCCTAATTGTAATTGTCATTGTTCTGTAAAATGTCAGACTCTACAGTAGGAGCAACCACTGGTTAGGAGAAAGCTTTTTGAGAGCCATGCATAGATTGATTGCAGTTATTGCAGTCGCTTAGATAAAAATTTTTAATTCACAGTCTCTGCCTCCCTTGAATATTGAGGAGGAAGAGTGACAAAGCAAAGGAACCTCATCACATTCAAGTTACTACTTGAATAAAGTTGAGGGTTTCATGCCTTCCGTGAATGATATCCAATGTTCCTGGTGCCCAGATGTAAGTCTGGCACCTTCCTACAAGAGGTGAACCTTGGTGCATTTTTTAACTGTCCAATAACAGCTCCACTTGGGCTCTGATCCCTTCTCTAGCCAGTACCATGGTCTCATCCAGGCATAGCCGATTATTGTATAAACTTCTTGAGATCTTTTTGAAATTCTAGTCTCTCATTTTCTTCATCTTTTGGGGCCTTGAAATCTAAAATTAAACGGAAGTGCAGCGTTTTGCATTTGATTTAGGCCACTGACGGGAATAGACTGAAACACACACACCTTAGCTTACTGGTAATGTGCTATCAGGCATGCTGTGCTACATAAAAAGGCTATATAATACAGTGACCTGATATTGATGGTCTAGTACTAAGGCATATGACTCACAGGTTTAGGATGTGATGTACAGGGTTGGACCAGGTCTCTGGAGTTGATTGCAGTGCTTTGGACCCTTTGGAGGCTATTTGCGTTGTTTAAATAATCCAATTCCTTATGTTTATTTAAAAATGATAAAAATTCACCCCTTTTCAGTAATCTCTTTATAGATGGAGGGTGATGATCCATTCCTCAGATGTAGTACCTTGCTTCTCTCCTTTCCTCTTCTTATGGGCTTTACCAAGTTATTTTTGCCACTGGTCCAGAGTACCTCCTGTCTTATATTCTGTCTGAATCTCAGATGGTTCCTTAACATGGTCACTAATTTCTTTCCACTAGCCATTGCCTTCCTTTAGATGAAAATATAGCACCTGGCTTCGCAGCCAGGATTTAGCCAACTATCTGTCCTGATGAAACTGGTAGGACACTGCTCTTCCTATTATTATTAGAACACCCTGCAGGCCAGAGTAGGAACCATTCTTATAAATGAATGAACAAATCATTTTCCATTCCTTTGGAGTTGCTTCACATTTTAGTTTTATCCTAGTGGAAGAACCTTGCTTTCTGGTCCTAGGAAACACACTTCCTTAGAACTTGAAGTAAATGAGAAATCTGAGAGTTGGTGTCTGTTATCATTTGTGTTCTGGTAATCTTTTGATCTTTTTGGTTCCTGGGATCCAGTGTCAGGTAACAACCAAATCTGGTTAAACACAAATTACCACACTGTCTTTGTAAGCCATTTATTATTGCCTCACATGGAAGACTGGTCCCAGTTGATCTTTAAGATTTACCAGTCTGCTCCCTTTGACAAACAGATGTACCACCTTCCTTGGTTGCCTAGTCCTAGTCCTGGAGCTTAAGTGGAAGAATTTCTAATTTTGAAGGAAAGAACACAGATCATTTGTTAACCCTCCTCTGTTAAATGGACAGACAAGAGAGGTTGACATACTCTGACCAGATTCTTGGGACGATGAGATTTTAAGAAGCATTTATCCTAGAAAATTGAGGTTGCTGGAGCCCAAAGTACATTCTGGTCATTTAGTCTGCCAACTGAAATTTTCCAAGAAGTAATTAGTTATTGTGTTTTCCAGAATGGGAGCCTACTGTCTTAAGTCTAAGCCAAGGAAGTGTATATATGTGAGAGATCCATCTCTGATACTGGGTTGATTTCAAAAGGATCAAGATAAAATCAGCCTGGTGTCCTGGAATGATGTTCTTGAGTTCCTGCGCTTTCCATTTTCCCCAGTCACTAGGAATCTGAGGGAAACCCAACAAACCTTTCTGAATAGAAACCCTATTTAACAGTGGTTCATTAGAGAAGG